GCTGAACAAAGACGTGCATTCAGTAGTGGTCCGTGTGGCATAAGGTGAAAGTGCGCGATTGAGTTCCAGGTTTTGGACTCATTGGCAGATGAATTCAATGAACGGCCCAAAGTGGTCGCTATGCCTTATAAAATTGTTGAGTGTTAATTGGCATACAGGCGGCTTATACCGCTGATAGACAGACTGACCAGCGGCAAGTGTTTGCCGTGCTAAGCATCAGCGCTCTGATCCACGACCAGTAAGCGCGAATGAAGCTGTCTTTCAGATCCGACCTGTAGTACCTTCACAAGGGAAGTTTGTGGAATTTCAGAGCCATCTATCAACGCAAGCACGTAAAGTGGTGTAAGGAGGAGAGCTACTCAAACGGTTGCACAAGGAACAATCCGACTTCCGTCAGACGTGAAAATCGGCGGTAAAGATGAATGATTCAGTGCACAGAAATATGAACTTGACGCGTATTCAAAGGGTGCATCATACAGAAGACAAGTGAAGTAAACGGAGTCGCGTTTAAGTATGTAACAACGCTACAGGCAATGATGCGCTTTAAGTATTCGTCTACTGTGTGGTCGTCCATGGGAATCTCAGCGTCGGAGATACACGCTTTGAGCCAGGTCCCCATGAGTGTTATTATGAACAGCTGTTCAACTCCAGAAAGATTTTCAGCAATAAAGGGTTTTTCGAACAATAGAATTGATGAGTCGGGAAAGTTGGTCCGAAACAGTAACGCAAAGGTCAAGCATCACTGAGGAAGTTTTTTGTTGTAATCTCAGTGTGTACGTTCGTAGACGAAACCATGTGACCATGATGATGCTGTCGTTACCCCCGTTACAACATTCATCACGCACAGGACCGCCAGAGGCACGAAATACCCTATCATAAAACCACATCGAGAGAGCCGAAAAGCCGTTTCAAAAATATGCTCGGAATCTACACGATTCACCACTTTAAAGGATTATATTTATTCCTGAGTATTTGACTTCGCAAGCGGAATGACTTTTTGGGCATGGCTGATAAGGTTAGTGAGAAACAGAAAGCTAATCACCTTTATACAGGGCTCACAGCAGGATGCTTTACGTTTCGTTAGAATCCCACGAATAATCTTTTCGAGGATAGCGCATTATCCTCAACCGAACAACCAAAAAGAGACTGTCGAATGCATATTTGCAACGACGGAGGGCCCAAAATGACAGAACTGAATAGATGGTATCTTGGTATCTTGAAACATTTGGCTACGGCGATGGCAGCACCTTCGATAAGTCCCAGTCATACGTCGATGATTATAAACGCAGCAACCCAAAATATCTAAGAAAAACGGGCAAGTTAATTCCATCACCGACAAAGGCGTCTTGCGTGTGATCTACTTTAGGTAATGAGGATGGGCTTGAAGAATGCCCGAAGAATGTGCGGCATTTTGAAACTTTCTAAAACCAGCCAAACATGCAGTTGTGCATTACCCAGGTTTAGTGCAAGGAATAAAGAATTTCTCATGGAAAAAATGCAGCGTACCAAGGTTGTTTTGTGTGATGCCGCAAGTGCGTTTAGTGAAGATGACCATCGTGTTTATTTGAAACCTCGTGAACCGTGACACTGCGCTTGGCATGCAACAGCATCGCGAAAAGATAGCTCAGAAATCAGCCCCGTCTAGGAAACCTCCTTGCGTTCAGCTAATGATTATAAAATCACCATTTTTGACGAAGTGGTAAGTAAAATTTACGGGACATGTGGCAGTGCCAGCAAAGTGGTTGGTGCCACCGGAACCCTGATATTTTGGTGAGCTTAGTTCATAGGATTCATACACACATGTAAAAGTGCGGATCCAATCCCCTTTGGAACCTAGCACGGTGTGCCAAGAATTCACAAAATAAAAATTAACATCCGATCAGATTGATACATCATACACGCTACTGCGTTGCTCTGTGTGATAGATGAGATGTAGGGCTCAGAAAGAACACAACCATTTAAAAACACGAAGCTCAAAAAATGATTTTCTAGTCGCAGACAAGACTGCTGTGCCATACGTTTATACTCTAGCCTGAAAGACGTTCCATGATCTTTGATTTCACATAATGTAGATTGAGTGGGCCATTACGCGGTCAAATGGTGTCCATTCCAACAAACGACTAAGGACAACCCGTGAAGGCCTGGACCTACGCTAAAGACAATCTTGAAATTTGAATTTTCGCATCCTTTTGAACTGGTAATCAGTTATCTAAACTACTTCGTTGGTGGAAGTAGACTCATTGAGCATATTCGAATCGAGGCTTCACAAGCACTCCTATTGCAGCTACATTGAAAAACGTCGGTGGTGCATTCAAATTTAAGGTAATCTGCTGAACGGTAGATTGCCCAGCAGTGAATGAAAATAGCTAATATTACCGACCTCCGTTATCCAATGTCTTACTCCATCCTGGAACTGAAAGTTGAGAGCCTCAGAACCCACCGTCGGCTAATTCTGTAGTCGAGTGTACCGGAGTACACCTTAAGCTACATTTGAAGCTTTTTTCTCCAACATCAAAGAGGGCAACAATAATCAACCGAGTAAGAGTACGCTTGGTCATCCGTGGCGTGGTGGCTCGCAACGAACGAACTCTTTTACTTTACAACTCCAGGCTTCCGGAAGTCCTAGGGTTTCTCGGTTGTTTAGTGTTGAAGAGCCTAAAATCAGGCCACAAGGCGTCTTCCCTCGCAACTTCATCAAAACAATACTAACTGAATTCTGGGTGACTAAATATTCCTTCTTCACAAAGTATGCGGTATAGACAATCTGGAATATGTGCGTAACACTGAACAAGACCATCCCGTTGCTCCTGTTGGTGGGCCCCTTCTGGCTTCACAAATGCTTTGACGTTTATCAGTTCACACAGGCTCACCTCTAAACCGCCTTGTTCTAATAAGACCGCCGGCACGCATCTTCAATTAACAGCATTGCACGGATAATATCGACTTCATTGAGGACCACCAATAATGATAGAACACTAATGGATTTCAGGTGTAGCTGTCTGCAGCACCAGAGCATCCTCTTCGATTCTGCCTGTCAAGCTTTCTTCGACCTTATTTAGCTGGTGAGCACTCACAAAAAGGGAGTGCCTTGCTACAACAGAAGTCAGCGGAAATTATAGATGTCGCGTGCCACGTCATTCAACTATCAATTGTATTTCTTTACATACTAATGGTCGACACAGCGCGCTTCGGCTATAACCTACGACCACACCATAAATACCAGCCGTTATTCTCGTAATTGTGTAAACTGCTCAACATAGAAAGAGACTCGTACTCATCCCTCTATTAGAGTTAATGCGTTGTGATGCTTCGAATAAAATGAATATACACCCCAGCATTTAAATGAGCGTTAAGGTAATTCAGTGTGTTAAACATTTGGTAGTGCCACAAACCGACTTACATTCGTAGCATCAAAAAATAAGAAGAATGATTTTTTCAGCAACAATACACTCAGACGGCACGACATTTTACTTACGAAATTCACAACGAGCTGAACCCCCTAACCACAATTGGTTCGGACCGTAGTACCTGAAAAAGTGTCCTTATTGCGGTGGCCGTTAAACTGAACGGTGCTTTGTTCGGGTTTCACCACTGCGATACAATTGGGGACAGTTATATTATTACTAGCGCTTGTAATATGCTTTCTTCTTTACCATTCCTAAGTCAGCAAGTATATACCATCGAATGAATGAACGTTAAAATTATTTAACTTCGTTGTTTTCTGCTACACCTCAGGGATCATCTTCCGCGGAGACTTGCGCGGAATTTCTACACCCGTAAATATTTGCAAGGATGGATACTGTGTCCCTTCATTTCTTTTAAAGTGATGCGATTTCCTCACTGTCAGATATCTGTGGCCCATGTGGCCTTACTCTACACTGATACCTACCGCCGTAACCGCAACCTCCCGAATGTTCGTATAGGAACTTCGACTGTTGCACTTTTTACGTCCGCTTCAGCAACTGAGTGGCTATTGTACTTTTTGCATCCCGGAGCAGTCAAGTCTTTTTCAGATGGAAGATTTCTCAACCGAATTCAAGGAGAATCTAGCGTTTCACCGCAGGTGTGTTTTGCAACGCGCGCTTTTAACGCTTTGGTTACGTAATCTCGCGCCCGATTACACACTGCAATATAATATGCGTTAGCTGCACCATTCTCAAACTCCGCGTTAATTTAGCAAGGTGAAGAACGGTTTTGGCCCGCAGATTTATTTATCCTTCATGCACACTGAGTCCACTGCTTGCAGGATGAGCAAAACATCTCAGAATGAGCCTTGCAGTGAGCATTATGGCTGCTCAACAAGCAATTCTATTTAAAAATCAACAACTGTTTAAAACGTGATGGGACTCGGGGCAAAAATTTTTCACCTTTTTTTGGAAGTTTCATTTCTTTAGCAACCAGTCACCCTATTCAAGGTGCTCTCTGGCCTCGTCTTTCGGGGGTTGATGGATTGTTGGAGAGCCAGATTTGTGAGAATCAAGCTGGGTTTTGCCAAGTTTGAAGATGCATCGATCCTAGCTTGAATTGGGGACGAATTCTTGAAAAACGCCGCCCTTCCAGACGCCCTGAGCTGTTCATTTTTATTGATTTGAAAAGTGACTTGATTCAATCGATCATCAGCAACTTTGGCGGTGTGTTGTGATCAAGTGTCGCTTTCAGTTTTATGACATATACGAGGCACTATATGCGAAATTCTGTGGTCGCGTGCGAGTATACGGAAGAGCTTCGCGTGAGTGCACCACGCAGTGGTTATTCGGACTTCTCTCTCACACCTTTTTCTTTCAACTTTTCCATGGACATGCTGCTTGACATTTCGCACTCGCTCAAAAACTTTGAGTGTGCGGAGGATACTGCCATCTATTGTTTGGGTTCCTCTCCAAATATTAATGATTTTAAGTAACCCATATAACTCTGCTACACGCTTTGGAGTCAGCTTTGCACCTGTAAAATTTAAACCGCTGTTACAAGATAGGGTGATATCAAATCCAAGGGCCTACAGACGAGCTAATCGGTGTGGCAAATAAATTGGCCTACCTGGGCTGCCCTACTCGCTCCGGTGGACTGGTTGAAGAGGAGGTAATTCCTCAACTCGGAGAAGCTGATATCACCAACCGCCTACACCTGTGGCGCCGATGTCACGTCAGTTTGCCTGTCAAGTACAGTTTACACTGCCGTGATTCTATTGATGATTGCTTTATGGAATCCGGACGTGGCCTTTATGCGCAGGGGTCACATAGAAGGTGTCTGTGTTTTAAATTCAGTTTCTCCAGGGAATTTGTCAGGTCTAGTTTGAACATCGGATTAGCAATGCCGGATGGTCCTGGGGAGAAGGGAATCTTCCCCAATGGATGAGTTAGGCTTCATAGGTTACGCCTGTTATGGTATTTACTCCACATACCAGAAGATCGTCTGCCTGATAGAGCTATTCTTGCTCAGCCCTGTGCTGAGTAGAGGCGGCCGAGAGGTGAAAAGTATAAGATCTGGCGACGAAGTACTAAAGCAGTACTCGAAAGACTCCGTCGGGTGGGCAAATGCCACCTTCCTGGATGGGGACTCGGGGCTCAACTCATCAATAATTAGTGTCATTGGCAAAAGTGGCCTAATCGCGCCCATGCTTCATGGCTACCGTCTTCAGTGCGTAACCTATCACTTACTGAACTGGCCAGATATGCCATGTTCAAGTCTTGACTCTATGTTCCAAAGTCTACCGTTTTCCGGCGGTCGAAATAGTAACAGCCGGAATTAATGAGGCAGTGGTACATGGTTCACAGCGGATAAATGGGAAGTTACATTTGAAACGAATGTTAAATAATTTTGCGTGCCTAACGGATAAAAAGTTTGCGCTATGGCTTTGTGTGTGACCATAATTGATGAAACTTGTTGTGTCAAAATCTATGACACGATTTGCTGGGGTATGTTTGCTTTCTGCCACATGGATATTAAGTGTTTCATCAAATTGGTGAACCCGGAAGCACCCATATTATTATTGTGTCAAAGCAACAATGTTGAACCATGTATGTGGTTGTTATTCCAGTAATGATATCAGTGTATTTATTATGCTGATGGTTAAATACACTGAGCGGTCGTAAGCGTAGTTGGATCTTCAACTGTTACCTGGCTGTTCCTCAGCGTAAGATAGGTTTGCTGTTGCCACCTATCCTTGCACATCACACCAACCGTGGGCAATTCGTGGCTACGGAGTGTAATGTCAAAAATGTCACTAGCAATTAGGCTTCTTTGCTGTAAAGCGTATGGAGTGTTTTTATCCCCTTAATTTGGTAAACTATAGTCATCTGCAAACTGCATGTGCGTCTGCGATAGACTCAGAAGCGCCTACGGTTCATGAAAAATCCGAATGAATGTGCCATAAAGTGGTCACATTGTGCTCTATGACAAGATAGACAAGGTTTTTTGAGTGCGACCTTTTGGAATAACATCCAGTTAGCTGACACAACGCGATCCCCGTGCAGAACGGTTGTGTGAATGTGGTTAACAAGTTAGTCGGTTGGGTCCCTCAATAAAGGCAATTTGATGTTCAATGTTATAAATTTTGTCAACCACATATAAGTCAACAAATTACGTAGAACACAAGGTATATGAAAACTCAGAAAATAAAACTACCCACGAAAGCTGAAGCAAAACAAGATCATTTGTGATTTATCGAAGTGTTTTCGGCAATCTTCAGGATGGTGTGTCATGTCAAAAGGGGTTCCAAGGCGTCAAGTCCAGTGTTTAAAGGTTATTTAACATTCAGTGATGATAGCTAATTTTTGGTGCATAACCTAACCCAAGAACGAATTATAGCGGAAGAAAACGCACTCACCGCACATTCTTAGAGCAGAATCTGAATGGCTCTGGAGGAAGGCGGTTTGCCGAAGGAAATGCCACTGCTCAGTTTCGAGGGAAAGGCTTGTGCAGCCTTATGCTAATAAAAAACACGCATTTTACAACACTTAATATTTTTTACAAAATACTGACGATTTGTTTGTCCCCGCAGTCACAGCCGTATGCGGTGAAGTGGCATCTGCAAAACGATAACGCCATCTTGAAAATCCGCAGCAAAAGTGCGGTATTCATTTTAAAAACCTTCTGATTGGAGGTCATTGCTGGCGTCGAAAAGGTTGTGGGTGCAAATGCTTTATGACACCAAGAAATTTTTTGACGTATTTGTAATATTTTAGTCACATTTTAGATAAAATTCTTTCGACAACAGCGTAATAACTTTTATTTTGTGAGAACTGATGAAAAAACGCACTCAGTCAACATGAAACCTTGATAAAGTTATAAATTCTATAATTATTGACTGCAGAATTAAGCTTGGACCGAATCCTTTGACAGACTGGACCCTCGATATTGAGCATAAGCAAAATTGCCCAAAAAATTTATCATGGCATGAAATATGGGGATTACGATTGTACTGCAAGTGAACTCGCTGAATCTTCCCAGGTAAATATTCCAAAATAAAGCAAAAGTAAATTTGATATTACCAGCTACGTTTGGATTAGTTATGTTCGGTCAGTTATAAATTAGGTTAAGACCCTACGCTGATCGTTTAAGGAAACTTTTTACAATTGTTCCATTCTGTGCGCCTGAAATTCCTGATCAATAATTCAATTTCTGTGACACAAGTCTGTTATATTTAATATTCATCGTTGTCGAGACTAAAATAAAAGGCCCTATGATCACCGTCTCCTAACAGTGGCATCTTAAAAATGCTACCAAGAGTTTTGGATCACGGAGAAATTGCAAAACTCAGAAAATTAACAAGTGCTCTTCTTATGGAAACTGCTTCAGTGAAACTTTACCCGTGGGCAACGTTCTACCTATAACAAGGTCCAGGTATTTACTACTCAAGATCAAGTTTTTAGCCCAACACGATTCATGTGCGCAAACTATTCTAACCCATATAATCATTTCTAAAAGGCCCCTGAATATATGCTTTAGCAGCAGTAGCAAAACTGGTCACGAGCATTTTCCCCATCGATTGTTTAATATAAGGGCCAAAAATACCCACAATAACCAACCTTTGTTCAATTAGTGCAAGGAAGGTTTTGCTGAATACACCCTAGTGACAATAACGATAATAATGATAATAACGTTTATTCCTCAACTTGTGGGTGGCATACTGTTACACATGATTATGATGTCACACTCAGAATGAAAGCACGACTGGCGGGAATCGTGAGAACAATGGGGAGTAAGGAAAAGGGACAGCGCCACAGGAGGTGAGCATTGTCCGTAATAGGCATGGTAAACACCGAAACGGCACAGATGGTGAAGCAAGGCACTATGCGTTTCTGAAGAGAACATCGGGCAAGATCGGATCGCAAGTGTTTGAAGGTGGCGGGCAAAAACAAAGCGACGGAGGGCAAAACAAGGAGCAGCCTGCGCAAAACATAACTAGAAAAGTGCAAAAAGTGGAAAATGTGGAACCAGATCCTTAGATCAGGTGAAAAAGCAGAGGTGGCACCATCCAGCCCTTCGAATTGGACTAAAACCTAAAATGACCGCTGAGGCCTCGTGGGCTTGGACTGTTGGGCTCATGATCAGGGTCACAAAATGTGGGGATGATGAAATGGAGGGAATAAGATAGCAGATAAACGGTAACAAGAATCTTGGTATCGTGGTGTACAGTTAAACTGTAGGGACTCTCTGTGGAGCTGGGCGCAACAGTTCCTTGGAAGAGTGAAATGGTGACAACACACGAGCCAGAAAGCGAATTGTATAGAAAGTTACTGATTTTGCGGGAAGCACAGACGCACAGAAACGGTTAAATTCGAACGAAAGTTCCAGCAGATCGGAATGAACATTTCATGGAGGCAGCTTGGGTTAGGGAAGGAGGCTCTCCGTAATTGCAGTTTATGGAACGAGAGGGCGAGATGGTGCAATCGGAAGAAGGAAGATAATAGTTGCGGGCTGCTATGAAACCGGGTGTAGCAGTGCCGTGCAACCATTGGCCTGACATACTTCGGTTCTTGGACAGACCCGCAACGGACGTCGCATTTAAGGTCACTGAACCGGGATGTGCGATTCTTTGAGCAACGGGATTCTTTCCAGGCTGGTCAAGAAAACAAGATGGAACGATGCCGATATAAGAGCGCAAGTTGTTTGGTACTTTTGGGGATTACGTGGATGTAGATCATGGGCCAGGTGGAGTGGATAACAGCCAACCTGGTCGTCCAAATTGGGTATTGCAGAAGTCCAAAGCTTAGGAAGGCTAATGGATGGGAAAAGGTTAGTAAAGCATGGTGGGATTGAGGAGACATCATGTGGGTTATTATGCACTAATATGTGTAGAAAGAAATGCTGGACGTCTACCGCGATTGGAGTAGACGTGATTATTTGAGATAGGCTACGGGTGGAATGTACTCAATAGACTAGCGACCAAAGATCGTGTTTGCTAACATACGATGTTAAAGTATGCGGGATCTAGAAGAAGCAGGTACAAGCGCGCAGAGCGGTGACGTGGTTAGAGAAATCAAACGCATAAAGACTGATGGGAGTGAACCTCCGAGATGACGAACTGGTTAATATTGTATCTATTACATTGGTTGGACCGCACCAGGAGAAAGTCATCAGTCCCCAAAGCAACGCTTTCAGTTTAAAGCTAACAGGTGGGGCAGGGCAGATAAAGGCCTTTGGGTACTAGTCTTGTACGCTGGTAACGGAGAGTTAGAAACCTCCATGTACATATTTTTCTAATTGAATGTGTTCGCTCCTGAGAGCAGTCGATAGGTGCTTGTGTTTTGTTCGGTGGACTAAGTGGGCTATGGTGTGGTAAAACACCAATTAGACAAGGGCGGCTACAGCTCCGCACGTGGATGTAAGCCATGGACATCACAGGGACTCCGGACTATTTTTAATGAATTATTATTCTAACAGATGGGAGGCCAGCTTCTTCTTTTTAATTTTTTCATCGTCAGTAGCTTTCAGGCCTGCCAGTCAGATGACACATTCGGGACGAGTCCAGCCCAGCAGCAACAAACAGAAAACAACAGTGCTCTTTTATTGATTTCCTGAATTAAAGGCCATACTCAGGACCACCTGCGATAGGCTACTTGGAGGGTGGCAGGCATACGAACGCACCATGGTGCAAGGCAGCGGGGCAACACGCCCTCCAAGACGTACCGACTACCACACGAGGTTTTCATCCCTAGTGCGTGCTACCAGATCTGCAAGGTGGCGTGCCACTAGGTAGTCATTATTGCGGTTTTTGCAACAATAAAGAGTCACAGCTACCAGACATCTCTTCTGGTCGCGGGAAAGCCAGGCTATTAGAACAGATCAGTCATTTTGAACAGGCAAACGACAAACAGCCTCTGGAAAAGGCAGGTCGCGGAGGTAAATAAGGCGGCAGCTACCATTGAGACAGGGGGACAGAACAAAGATGACCAGAGTGTAAAAACCGTGGCTAAGTGATAGCGTGGGCTATCAAGTCAAACAATGACCTACCGCAATATTGTGCGCGTGTGCTGAATATGCTGAACTTAAGTTCAACACTCCCATTTTTCTTTCTCATTCTTGAGCACTCTATACTCACATGTGTTTCCCCGCCAGGGGGTGGTGAGAGTACACTGATAAAAGCATGACGGGTGGCAACAAACTCGTTGAGTTTCCCCACCTTATTTCAATTCCCCCTGTGCACTGTCACCTGTGATTCAGCATCACCCACGCCCATCACTCAGATCGAGTCTTGACGGTTCCGGCAATCCCCACCCAATTCTAAGCTGTGAGTTGTAGCATAATAACATCCTCCAAAGTTTCAGCTGGCCTTCATGAAAGAATTCACGTCTTCCGGAACAAAGTTCTCAAAGCTACGGCGTACTTCATCCCACTTAATATATTTCAACGATCGCTCGGTATGATTTTCCAGTCTTTGTCCTTTCCTCTGTCTGCGCTTGTTGTCCACCCCTAGTCTTTCAATAGATATTGGATGCCAGCCCCTGTCGATGATTAGTTTTATCAATATTTTCACACCCTGTCTATATTATATATATGCACACACTTGTACTTCTGTCCAGGTGGCATAAGATGTCCTTATGTGTACGCACTGCTGACCTGACCCCTTCTACCCATTACGTGCCCATAACTCTACTGCTTCTTAAGCCACTATTCAAATCTTTGTTAAAATTGGCTTTTCACCATCCACGTCCGCGTATCTTCAGCTTCACACCCGCGAGTAACCTACTGCATCAACTGTGCCTGACGTTGAACACTGAACCAATGGGAGTTGAGAATTTACAGTATCCCATAGCCGTGCGGAGTGAGCCGGAAGCTGACTGCGTGAAACAATCAGGTGGTGATGGCTGTCGACGATGCATCCACTGAAAACGACTCTACTTCGGTTCATGTTGCCGTCAGGTAATGAAACTCATTTATTTAACTCGTGTTGTAGGGTTCGGCCGCAAAGTGCGAGGGAAAAGCTAGAAATGAGTCAGATATGCACTTCCGTGCTACCAAACGCCCCGCAGATCGTTCTTGGGAAGGACTCATCCTTCACATTTGATTACGTTTTCAACATTAATTCCGCACAAGACACGATTTTCAATACGTTGGCAAGGCCACTGATAGATGGGTAAGTAGCCGCCCTAGGACCGGTAAATGCTTTCCAGATGTCTTAATGGATACAATGCAACTATTCTTGCTTATGGACAAGTAAGTCCTGTTACTACTGTGATATTATGTTATAGACTGGTTCCGGAAAGACGTATACCATGGGCACTGGCTTTGATCTCACAGCCAGTAACCAAGATGCTGGCATCATCCCAAGAGCAGTTCAGTATCTCTTCGCGCGTATTTCACAGTGTCGAGCTGAAGCAGCAGATAAACACCAGCCTGTTCCGGAATTCAAAGTCGTTGCGCAATTTCTAGAGGTAAGTCCCATGTTGAATCATTGTTCCTTGGTCATTGCTTTGTGATTGTACCATTACTCCGTTCTTCATGCAGATGGACGGTGTCTTCATCACATGCTGATCCATTGGAGCACCGGAGACCTGAGCAGTAATTCAGTGACACTACACAAAATTACTTGCCTTCTATGGTTAGACTATTTTTGTCACCATCCACAACCACTTCATCTTCAAATTATCACCTCTCTGATGCGGCCACTCATCATCCTCATAAAAAGGGCCTTTCCAGGCGACATTCTTACGAATGTCTGGTCTGTACTAGCTACTTACTTTGGCTAGCAGAAGCGTGGTAGTGCCTCGTTCTACGCCACAACGAACAAGGCTGCAACACATATAAACAACCATCAAGAAAACTAACCTCGAACTGTTTGAGGTTAGCGCAATTTCGGGTTAGCTGAGAGACTGAGCGAATATACTGGCCAGATTACTGTAAGACAGACAACCTAACTTTGAATGTGATTGATAAACCCTAGCGCTACAAGTTTAGTGTTCCGTGGTGTATTTGCTCATTAAACTTTCGGAATTTGGCGAAACCGAGGAGTTGAGTGACAACCACAGCGAGATTTTATTGTTTGTTGGTTAAGTTGGTTCACTCATATCCTAACTTGGTTTTGCAGCCATTGCAGCATCTCAAATCGTGAAGTGTGCAAGTAAATGCATCTTAATGCGACATGCGGCTTATAACGGCACTTGGCACACTCGCCGACTACGGGAGGCCGCGCAGGGAAATTCTTTCGCTCTCTGACCTCTCATCCCTACTGCTATTTTTTGACTCATGATCCACTTGACGACCACCCGTAAATCCCAGTCGACGACAGTTAGGCCCCCAGGAAGGTGATCAGCTGCATAATACCGTTCACACCTACTGGTTTACATCTTTTTTGCCTCGTTGCGTTTCTTAAACTCGAATAAACGGCCAATTCAGTTCACTTAGCCTACAGCAGATTCGCCATCTAGGCCTCATCGGCCGCTAATTTCGGTCAGTATCACAGCTAATGCAGCTCCAGCATCCGTACAACTCTCAGCTTAGGTTTTTATACTTTATTGGATACCCATGAACAGCAAGCGATTTGTCGCCAGTTTACTCACTGATCGAAATACCAACCACTTTTCGACAAATACATTCATCTGCACATCAATTTGGTTTTCACGAGAGACTCAGTTGAACTTTCGTTTATGGTAAATACCAACCACTTTTCGACAAATACATTCATCTGCACATCAATTTGGTTTTCACGAGAGACTCAGTTGAACCTCTCGTTTATGGTATTCTTCACCACTTTGCTTATCGCATCCATCTAATTGTCAGCTGAGCAACTCCACTTAATTAAACAAAACAAAATTAATTAAAATAATGGTGGTGTACTATACTTAAGTGATTTGGATCCAAACCTTGGTGACATATTCAGTCGTGGTAGAAAGCGTGGTCGATTGATGAGCTGTTTTTGCATCGACTACCGTTCGTTTCCCACTAGTGATGGGTTTGGGTACGGATGCTACCCTTGTTCTATTTGTCGTCCTTTTACTGATGGGTGGTCTTGTAGCCAAGTCGACCACGTAACCATCGGCCACCGATTGTTAGGCTCAGATCTTGACTGGAGATCGTTCTGAATGTGAACTTAATTCATATCACACTTTCGTCCAGTGCAGGTTTTCCAAAAAATTTCTCAATGAATCCAGGGAGTGAGTTCCCTACTCAGCCTTGGAATGTGTGGATGAATCACGTTCCAACGGAACGATACTTCACAAGTAACCAGTCCAGTGCATATTGATTGTAGCTAGTAGGAGTCAGCTACAGCTGTACACAGATCAGTAGGTTCCGAAACGGTCACTGTCACTTTTTGGTTCAAGAATTATCTCTTCGGGTTCAGGAATAATTCGGTTAGACGACTGGTTGGAAGTCAAGTCAAACGAAGCCTTAAATAGGCAGAGAGGTGTGTCGGATAATAATAATAATAATAATCGTTCAGCTGTAGCACCCTTTCGGTGCCTAGCTGCCATGCCACACGGAGGCACGAGGGCTGGGATACTGCCAGGTTGCCCAAGCCTAGACAGGGGAAGTCGAGTGGCAGAGGTCGGGTTCGAACCACGGACCTTCCGGTCAGTAAATTCGCGCTCTAACCACGTGTGTCGGATACAGAAGTTCGGGTGGAGACTAGTACAACGTGGGGTGTACAGAGGCTGTTTCGGCTGGTGCCCGAACCGGGACCTGTGATATCATTCGTAAATTTAGTTATAATAGAAAACTAACGTCCATATTCCTTCGCGGAATATTTTCAACACAGCTTAGTTGGGACTCGTAGTACACCCCAAACTACCTACCAAGAAAGCGTTGTTCTGCGTTCGAAGTTACTGTTGGCGAGAATGTTGTTGACCCGAACTATGACATGCAACGAAAGCGGCTGCAGTCGAACCGATTGTGGAATCTTCGCGCGTACGTGATTATCCTTCAGTTTGAGGGCGTGGCACGTAGATGGTACCAGTGGTGAGAATTCTTCACTTTGCACCCACGAAGTGTAAGTGCATGTTCATGGATTTACATTCACTGAGGTCGCCACTTACAATCCAATGAGAGATAATCGAAGTTGTGGTTTGTTCAACGTATTAGTTGTATTAGTCCCGATTGTGGTGTGACATGAGGTCAATGTACGAATCTGCAAGCCTGCGTCTGCAAGGTTGCAAGGTTGCGTCTGCTAATTTGAGACACCTATGGCTTTAAAGCGGTGTATCCCCGAATCTCAAGGGACGTGTGCGTTCAGCTGTAGCACCCTTCCGGTGCCTAGCTGCCATGCCACCCGAAGGAAGCACGAGGGCTGGGATACTGCCAGGTTGCCCAAGCCTGGACAGGGGAATTCGAGTGGCGGAGGTCGGATTCGAACCACGAACCTTCCGGTCAGTAAATTCGCGCTCTAACCACTTGGGCCATCTCGCCCTCGTGTGGATCAGGCCGCAGGGCGGACTGTTTTGTTGTATGGATGTGGGACTTGGAGTGTTCATTGAGCGGAATTGAGACATCCTCAGGTGTTTGACAATCGTTCTCCCAGAACCATAGCTCGTGTGGTTTGCTGTCGGAGAATTCTCAACGTGGTAATTAGACGGCGATTTTTTGGTTTTGCAACGGGGACTTCCATTGAAGAATGTGTGCAGCACCAGAAGCTGGGTTGGTTAGGCCATGTATTGTGCATGCCGAACCATCGTTTGCCGGGGATATAGCTGTTTTCCGTGCCCAATTCAGAGTGGCGGAAGCAGAGAGGTTGCCAACTCTTGACATGGCAGAGGAGTATGAAAGGGATTACGAAACGTTTGGGTGCTATTGGTGCTACTCGCCTGTCGGGCCAAAGACTGCGTGATCTCTACTGTGCCTGGTTGGAGACGCTGCAAGCTATGGCGTTCTCGTCCTTTTCTATCTAGATTGCCTGAATGAGTGTGTGGGAGTGTAGGCACATCGGAATGACTGTCTTAATCTAGCACCGAATTCTTTCCTCGTTCAATTTTATCATTTTTTCCACAGTATGGCTTTCAAACGAATTACGGTTGTACAGCATTAAAGCATCAGAGTGAAATATTAATGTCATCCTGTTGGTGTTGATGGTGGCCCGCAGAGATATTGATCGGGCAGACACAACCTCTCGGTCCTCCAGGCTGTGGTTTGGAGCTTCGTAACCTTAAGACTGGGGGGCGAGATGGCCGAAGTGGTTAGAGCGCGGATTACTAACCTGAAGGTCCGCGGTTCGAATCCGACCTCCGCCACTCGACTTCCCCTGTCTAGGCTTGGGCAACCTGGCAGTATCCCAGCCCTCGTGCTTCCTTCGGGTGGCATGGCAGCTAGGCACCGGAAGGGTGCTACAGCTGAACGCTTTATCTTTTTTAACCTTAAGACTGTGTCAGGCTCACTTTATCGGCTACTATGTTGCGATCAGGCCTTTGAGCCAAATACTTGTTGAGAATCCTGGTATTCTTAATTGCATTTCAATTACCTCAGTCAACATACAACCGTGTGATACACAAGCAAAACTTCCTGGCTTCGCGTGACAACAGCTTGGTCACCAATGTATTGGGGCGCCCAGGTGGAAGCGCTCGATCACTTGTGTGCCTCGTCTTCGTTGTTATCTCAACTCCCTTAACTGTCCTACTGAATATTTAATCGGGATTCCAGCCAGTGGTATGTCAATCAAGGATGGAGGGAGAGTGGCACTCCCTCCACACCTACCACTTCGCATCCACGACTCATGCTTATTCTTCCTATCTTTAACGAACCAATTGTTAAGTGAACTGGTCATTAAGTCGCTTTTTTACATTGGAAATTTATCTGAATACTTTCTCTATTTCCGATACTTGCTTACAGGATTCAAGTACGCTAATTCACATTAAGATAACATCATTGTTTGGACGCTGTCCACCCGAACTTTGGTTGACGCCACATCTACTGTACTGAGTTGCGCTGTTGTCGGTGTAGGTCTCATTTCGCTCATTGAGACCTCCTAACTTAAGTAGATGTCCCTAAATGGCCGACTCCGTGCAACGTATGTAGTGACCTGCTTATCAGAATATGAGTTGCTCTGACGGTCTTATACCAACCACCGCCCCCTTGCGGTTGGGCTTTTGAGCCGAAGGCTTCGGTTGAGGACCCTAATCGTTCCGCAGTTTAGGTGTGGATCCCCTCTCAGCATCGATGTCCATATATAACCGTGAATTGCATATAGGGGTGTCAGGATGCTGTGACGCACAAATACAGCACGCTGTACGCGAATTCATAGACATAAGTCGGGGTTTTGACTGGGTGACGGTGCACTGGCCGCATCTCTGCATCATATCAGATGCCTGAGCTTCGCCACTGTTGTTACCAACTACCGCGCAGTCTCCCTTGACTGTAAAATATCGTGCCACATTTTATAGCATATTGTCAAAAAGTTATTGTACTTGAATATCATCACCATCATCATCAGAGACAGCAACATCACTGTCGACACTGGTGGTCCACTGCCATACAACCATAAACTTCACCTAGTTATGCTTAAAACCTTAAAATGAAGAGAGAGAGAGAAGTGGGTGGGGGAGGTGGCCTGTTGCTAGACTTTTGCAAGCATTCTAAGGTGCCTAAACCTCCAAGCGATCAGTCAGACAATCCGGAAAGTTACTGCCAGCACGAATGTCACTGACATCGATTAACCGCTATTTCTTGCAATGGCTCCAGCTAAGCGCGGGAGGGTTCACGGGCACTGCATCTTGAAAGACGCTGTTTGGGTATGCGCACATGGTCTAGCCACCGCAGTTGATGGCGCGGGATATTTTCCTCAGTTGGAGTGCCTGATGCACGATCAAATGCCCTCGTTACGGGTTCGTTGGCGCCATCTGACACCAGCAACATTTCTGAGACATCGGTGGTAAAAAATCTGAAGACACCTCGCACCATCTGTCCACATGGACCATTTTCGCAACCATACAACAACGCAAACCTTTTTGTAGCATGGTACACGTGACCCTTAAGACCCAGGGATGTGCCTTTTTGACGTCGAAAGTGACACAAGTTGGCAAACATGATTTGGGCTTTTGAGATTCGCACACTGACTTCATCAGACACTGCTGTCAGAGCTAATACAACTACTGAGGTATGTGAAATTGTCCACAGCCTCCAGTGGTTCTCCTTAGATTGTAAGAGGTATCTTCATAGACCGTACGTTTTGAAGCAATACTTTGCAATTTGAATATGCTAGGCGCATGCCGAAAGATTGTATGATGGCGATCATTTTATTCAACAGAGCTTATGCTGCGCCTTCGTCTTCAAAGATGATCGCGGTATCGTCTGTGTACTCCAGGTCGACGGGGTTCTCACCAGGGACGATTTGAACGCCGAGGTTTTGAAGAACTTCCAGAGTCAATCTCGTTACTTCGTCGCTGACGAAGTTGCACAAGAACGGAGAGAACGCGCAACCTTGTGGGGCACAACTTTTTGTAGGAAAGCTCACCCTACTTTGTCACAAGTCCCGAAGTATTGGAACATAGGGACCGGATTATGCTCACAAACTTCTAGGGCGTACCCTGTGGAAAAGTGTGGTTAACAGCACTGACCAATCGACAAAATCGAACGCAATCTTGAAGCCAAGGAATATCAAGGTTGTGGGTCTTCTCTACATATAGGTTTACTCCAACACCTTATGGAGTGTGAAGATGTGGTCGAAGAAGTGTCAACTAAATTTAGCAGTTGTGTTCTACGCTTGAAATTCGCGAATCGTTTTCTCTGAAGGACGAGCCTTTCAAACGCTTCGGCACTGTTTCTATGCGAAAAGCTGACTAATCTAGAGGAACAGCAGTACTCCATATTAAACACACCGAAGAGACTGGGCCTTTTCGTTGTGAAATGGGTTTTGTACTTCTACTAGCTAACGACACCCGCCACGCAGGAAGGTGTCGTCATGACATTTCAACCTTTGACGTGTCAGGAAGTTTTTCGTTTTGTGAGGTCGAATATTCCCGGTCGTGCATTTCGGGACATTTTAAATTTTGCCGCCAAACACCTTTGCATTTCAGTCAGGCGTGACCTTAGTCGTCCCATCCCCAGCCCACGTACAAATACGTCACTGATGGTTTAGCTCTGTATGACGACGACAATGGATAGAGCTTCTGGGTTCCTGAATAATTTTAGCAGCGTTCCACTAGAATTGTTTTATTAGCATAGTATTTATCCCTTCAAGGAGACTAAACTGATGTCAGTGTTTTCTCGTGGGAGTGGCGGTGAATAGGAGTGGGGCACATTTTCGATTGGGATTTTAGTTACATTGGGGTGAGTACATTGGTATATTTCGGTTCTTCTATATGTTGACACTCGCTTAGCGACTGAGATATGAATGCAATGTGTGGATCTGTATGTCAGCTAGGTCATTACGAACAAGCAATTTGTGTGCGTGAACTTTTTAAACTGGATTCAAAACCCCAAGACAAGGTCACTTATGAGAAAAAGGCTTCATCCGATATTCAAATGGGTGGTGCCGTATGCAAATCCCGGACGAGACTCTTTTATGTCCTGCAAGGATTCATGGCCTATGGAATTTTTGTGGAATTCTAGCAATCTTGCTTGTGGCAGCAACCGCTTAACACGACAAATAACAACTTTTGGTTAATGGGGATGTTTTTCCTTAGGGACTGAGGCGATAGAAACAGCTACCGTGCCACCCAAATTTTCCAGTCAGTAGGATTGTTCTTGGAGGGAGTATGCTGTACCTGTGATTCATCATTGTTAGATATGTGCCCTAAACAGCAATAGGCGTGAATATTTGAAATAAATTTTCCTTCCATAACCACGATAGCACACAACCACGGACGCTTCTGAGTTCCTGTGCTTTTGGTATTTGCAGGAGATTTGTCCAGTCGTGTGTAACCAACAGCTTACATAGGTACCGTTTACTGAACTGAGAGATGTGTTACTTTTTTGTTTAACCCTACTCCACTATCTTATTGTCCCTTCGTATTTTTTGTATATTAGACAGACTCATATTTGTTGCTGGCAGTATGTCAATTTGTGTACGTTAGCCACACAGACTGTTGCACCCACATGACTGAAAGCTTGTGCCTCCCACTGGTGAATTATTCTCAAGAAAAAAGTTCTCACCGGTTCCAAAAATGTCGTTTGTGAGGCACTACGATCTCATTGGCATATTAATCGACATAATTCTGTCTGGTTAAGTAACAATGGTAGACTCGCGCTTGTTTGATGAGCAATCTGTTATTCATTAGCGTGTTAAAGGGTTATGTATTGGTTATCACAGAATAGTTCCCACGTGGTGGTAGTCATTATTTAAAAGGTTCGGTTGTCAGTAAAGTATGCAATCTGTAAACAGAGATTTGCTAAAATTCAGTGCGACAGCCTTATTTCAAGAAACTTTGGCTACTCTGTCCATTTTGCGGGTTTGGCTTCGGTGTTCGATACTTTGTTGCATGACACATTTCATTTTATGAGTTCGTTTCCCTGGTTTCAGCTGTATAACGAAGAATTGGTCGACCTCCTTGATGCAGACCGCGTAAGTTGCGCTTAGTGATTTTTTTTTACAGCATTTGGTTCCATTTTTACATTGTGACTGTTCGGTTTCACCTGAAACCGCCGAGTAACCTGAGACATCCCAACAAGGTGACTAAATTGGCATAACTCCCGCTAGAACGTTTCTGAGGTGAATTCTAGCTCCGTCTTCAAAGTGTTAAATTTAGGTAGGCCTCTGCCACTTCGTCCTGGCTATGCAATCTGATAAACGGGCCTTGGTTGATGGGATAGGCTTGCAGCGGCACCAATACCGCCACGTATCTACTTATAGACCACTGCATTTCACCAAAAAACGAATATACGGTTATCCTGAATGTGACATATTGAATGGTGGGCCACAACACAGTGCTTTGCTGCAGTTGTGTGATTCTGGTCTATTCTAGTCCCAACAGCCTGGAAATGAAACACTAGTGAAAGGAGTTTGTGCTAACTCACATATATTTGGGGAAGGAGTTTCAGTAATTTCTCATGTTTACAGTATTTCGAAAATTGTGTTGATACGGATTTCCCTAAATCGTGTTGAAAAAACTTCCAATCACTTTGGAATTTTCGGGACTATAGTCATTGAGAAATTATAAAACAGGGAAATGAGTCTGTACTAGTCAATCAGGTTCCCGGGTGATTGTGCTTGAGTTGTTGGGTGGGCGAATGACCTCCTTCAGGTTACCGCCAATTGGCAAGGCTTCTAGGAATAATCTTGTAGCTCTCTCAACTTTATCGATGTGACGAATCAAAGAATTTTGAATCCCTTTCGTTTTACAACTGATAGTGTGGTGTGGAATCATCAGCCAGGGGTAGACTATACTGCAATGCGCCTTGCACAACTGTGCCAGTTTGAATATGAGCAAAGTGATTGCCTGCCGGCGACAGTACCCCAAAAATATAGCCTGCATGTTGCCGTGCATGATATATGAGGCGTGAATAACCAACCTATTCGTTCTCGAGCCATTAGGACCCTTCAGCTAGTAGCTTCCTTGCACCTTGCAGAGCACGATGGCCGAAATGGCTCGGTGGTTTGGGCGCAAACTTATTGACCTGAAGGTCCGTGGGTCGAATCCAACCTGTGCATCTCGGCTGCTCCTGTCTAGCTTTGGATAACCTGTCAGTATCTCGATCTTCGTGCTTGGCAGCTATGCACCGAAAGGGCATCAGAACCAAACTACTGGCGGATCGCAGAGGGGGGCTTATCTGCACATTAGATGCGTGGATATCAACCACGGAGTTTTCAGTAAGATGGTAGCGAATTAACTTCTATGTATTCCACCAGTTGCAGAATGAGGGAGGTACGAGCCAATCCCATCACTTGCAGGAGTTTCCAAGGTTACAACGGTTATGACGTCATGGTTCTCGGTTTTTGTCACCTTTTTCAATCAATTTCTCATCGTTGTTTTGCCTCACGCATCCTTTTGACTTTTTCTATTGCCGGCATGCAAAGAGAACAGAACCATTCCGGCTTGTTCACGTATCATGATTGATTAAGCGCAAGCGAACGCTTTTTAGTTTTAACAATGAACATGAAATTGATCTAACAGGGGCGTTCCATCTGCAACGTTCGCGTAACGATTAGAGGGGGCACGGTGCTACCAACCCATGCTTCTCCACTTTATGGTACTAGTGATATTACGTGCTTCGTATCGCGGGGATTTATTCTTTACATTCTTCTCATTAATTACAGTCCCGCAAACCGCATCTGCGACTGCATGAAAACGCCCAGGGCGATATCTACCTGACTGGCGTATCCACGCGCCTCGTATCAAGTTTGAATGATGTAAGTGAGAGTTATTCACCAGTACACTTCGTCTGGTTTTCTACTGAGGACCCATTTGACTTCCTAGGAAGAGCTTTAACGCCGACGCGGATATTTATCTTATCAGTTATTACTTACATTTCCTATTGCCACTAGAGAGTTGCAGTTTCAAGTCCGATGTTTTCCTGCTAGCAGTTAGATGCTTCCGACTATCATCCTTGTTTTGCGGCAGTGGTAGCTTTTATTAACTGAGGACTAATAGCACATTGAGATGTGTTTCACTCATAGTGTGATGTGTACTGACTTATCGTTGTATATGCCTGTGAGTTTGTTCGTAGATAGTTAGCCTCTTGGAACCCATCGTACATTGTTGCGCAACAATCGTCTTGGTAATCCTTTTGTGTACAGTTATCAGTTGAGATCGTTTATTGGGATTGTTTTGATACTTAAAAATGGGGCTTTCTACACTTGACCAGTTTATTCACGTGCTTTTCGTCCTATAACGCATCGAAATAATCGATCTCTCCTGGTTGTTAGGTCACGTGCCTCTGTGGTTGCATGATGTCGGGTGAATCTATCTTACTTTTGAATCAAATGAACTACTTGTTTCCTCCAGGTTAAGCGAGTGTCCTTCAGAATTCCCACAAATCCTGATTTCGCTTAGTTTCACTATTGTTTATGTTAAATCGCTTTTCTTTAGTTGGTGCAGAGTGAGGATGCTGTGGTGGTTACAAATCCCTTCACTAATGCTGATAAATCTTTACTAGGTATGTGTTTAGGCGTCTTCAAGGTAAGCCACCAGCCGGTGACCCACACGTGAGTTTGTTTTATCATGGTGGTTCTGACCAAGTTAACTAACGGACCTACCCGATGTAATCCGGAGCCCTCTTCTGGCGCTTGTTCTATATCCTGTTCTGCAACTAACAACTATTAACGTAGCCTAATGAAGATTCACCTGTTTAGTTTTCACCGAATTTCGCCCACGATCAGCTGTGTTTTGCGTTATATCATCCCCTTCTAGACTCTGAAGTGTTTACGTGATGGTTCGCTAGTGCGTAGTACGGCTAGCACAAACATGAATGCGCAGTCCTCACGTTCGCATGCCATATTCACGCTCCATGTTCGTCAGCAACGTCTTGTCAAGTACGATGAGGTAGGTCCTGTATATCTTCGTATGTTTTTACAGTGGTTTTACTTGACGTGCTTCAGGAATGCATTCTGGACACGGGAAGGCCCAGCACTTACGGCACCAATCTGTTGACCTGAAGCTTCACGGTCCTAACCCGACCCCGGGTTTTCGATTGTCCTTGTCTAGGCATGGACAGTCTGGTGATAATTCAGCCTGTCAAAAACTGGTGAATCAGAAGCTGAACGGAGGTGAATGGAAATGGTTAATGGGTCGAACGAATAACCTAAATCGGGGATGGATATATCCAGGGAACGTAGATGCATTGGCGGACTTGAGAAGTTTAAAAGTTCCTTTTTTGACGAACCTCAGTCGGGGATAGTTGCAAGGTCGGTGTTTATGGGAGTAGTGGGGAGTGTTTCCTTCTCGGACGGTTGTGTAAGCCATATAGCACGAACACAATAGGATGTCATCACTGAGACTTGATGTATGGAAATCGGTGATGCATGGAACGAAAGCTACTGGATGATGATTGTCTCAAGACTTCTCATACTTGCTCGTTATTCTGATGTGACTTCCGTGTCAACTAGGTTAAATGAAACGAAAAGGTACCGTTAACTTTGCAAATGTTTTTGGTTCCTTCAATAAATAAAAGCGTATTACTGTGCTCCATGTTTGATATACGCATAGATCGGGACCTATGCTCATCTATGTGTTCGGTCATGCTTAGCTCTCATTCTAAAGAACACAACCCTCACAAAAAGTTAACTTTTGTCGTTTTCTGTAGGTCGCCCTTGTTGAATAAGTGCTCTGATAAAATTCCATGTGTGATACTCGCCTATATTTTTTTCGTCCACACAGGACTCAAATGGTCCCAGGCAGACCGAAACACAAGACTCGGAACACGATCCAGACTCGACTGTCGTGGACCCTATTCCGGAATACGAGACACTGACAGCAAAATTTCATTTTGTAGACCTTGCTGGCAGTGAGCGGCTGAAGCGTACCGGTGCCACTGGAGATCGGGCTAAGGAAGGTATCTCAATTAACCGTGGATTGGTGAGTCTGTGTAGATTATTGCAGTTCTCGAGGTTGCGAGACCCCCACCAAGGCGAATTGGTATGTCACAGATTAGTAAACCGTGACTAGTGTTCTCTACTGATTTTCTTGTCAGTTCATCTTACATGTATTAGATTGTGCACAAATCGGACCGCCTTCTAAATACGGTCAAAGTATAAGTAAAATGATGAAACCAGAGTGCTCAGCGTGGTGAGTATCGGCCGTCTTCTTAATCCTTTTCTTAATGTATTGCCTCGCAAGCTGTAATGCACTTCTTGCCGCCATTTTATCAAAAGAGAGGAACATGGAGGACGTACTGATGAAATGCTTCACAGTATCTAAGAATGGGATTAAATACGAGGTCTTCAAGACGACTGGATAAACCTTGGAAGGACGATTACCGTTGTTCCACTTTGAATTCCATGTTGTTTCCAATAAGCGATTCTAGAGCTCTATTCCACTGTTTGGTTGCACGCGTGCTAATGTTCCTCAAATTCTTACCAATGTCAATGACGCCATCAAACTTGTCAGAAAGTTTGAAGTCAAGGTTTAGAACTCGTTTTTTACTACGTGAAATAAATCCCAGATGATTGTGAACATTTTACCTCCAACAAACCTAACGAGGCCATCACAGTGTTTAATGAGCTATCCAGAATGATCAAAAGTGAGTTTTTCACCAATCACCTGTGTTCACACTAATCATGATGGTGACTTCTGCTGTCTCGTGTGGGGAACTTTTAGCGTTTCATGATGTTCCTATATACTTACGTCTGCCAATAAGGAATTTATAGAGGGGCGAGATGGCTCGAGTGGTTAGAGCACGAATTTACTGACGGAAGGTCCGTGGTTCGAATCCGACCTCCGCTTCTCGACTTCCCCTGTCTAGGCTTGGGCAACCTGGCAGTATCCCAGCCCTCATGCCTCCTTCGGGTGGCATGGCAGCTAGGCACCGGAAGGGTGCTACGGCTGAACGCTCATGTTCTCGTGTTCAAGGAATTTATACAGTGATATTTCCGAGGCCGAGTTCTGTCATACGTAGCCTCTATAACGATGCGGGCATTTGCTTTTAACCAGCTGATTGTAGTGCTGCAGTACTACCCCCTAAAAGTGGCCAACCCACTGGAGGCCCGTGCCACTTTCCTCAACAAAAAAGAAACTAATAGCTAAAGCGCTGGATTGATTCAGTGGAGATCCCCAGGTTGCGAATTGTGAAGTCTGTTTCTGAATTGAAAAAGGGGTATGTCGAATACTTTGAGACTTTAGAAAGTGTAATAATCAAAACTCTGTTCCATTTCTTTCTGCAGATTGAAGTCCCTGTGCTTGTTCGTCTTTTAATGTGTATCTTAGCTCGGTCGTTCCTAATGATCGCTTATCGTGATAGTATCAAAAATTTGCAGCACATCGCGACGATAAACTTCTTAGCAAGACTTGCTCGGTTACTATCACAAGTCCGTTGGCACACAACTTTTAACATTTCAGCTTGTTTACATACCCAAAAGCAACTGCTACAGATCCACTGCGTCAAAGAGAGGCGCATGTAGGTGGTTTGCGAATGATTTTAGCTTGTTCAATCGATATATGGAGGAACTATGCGAATCGATCCCAAACGTTTGCGACGCTGAACGTGTCTCTGTCATTGCTCAGTACACCCTCCCAGTTTAACTTCGTTCTACCAATTTTTTGTGGAAAACGTTGACGAAACGTTGAAAATGTTGACGAGTTCGTAGCTGTTTTGCTTACCATTGGTCTGCTTAACTCCGTCGCCTCACTACAATATGAGTAACGTTTTCTGTGAACGTTTTCGATGAAATAATGAGACGAACGCTGGAGGGTCTCCAAAGCCCCGGTGTTCAAATAGCCTGTGAAGAAAACCTTGTCGATCTGGAATATGCAGACGACATCGTTCTCATGTTCGAAGAGGCAGAGAAGGCGCAAGTATTCTTGGATGAACTAACCAAAGTCATCCCGTCCTTTGGTATGCACTTTGCACCCACAAAGTGTAAGGTCATGCTTGTGGACGTGCATCATCATCATCATCATCATCAATGACAGCAACATCAGTGTTGGCACTGATGCTTCACTGCCGTGGACGTCCAGTCACTGAACACGCCACTTACGATCCAGAGAGAGGGACTGGAAGTCGTGGAGCGTTTTACATATCTTGGAAGTTGTATTAGTTCTGATTGTAGTGTGACAGGTGAGGTGAATGCACGAATCTGCAAGGCTCGGGCCGCGTTTGCTAACTTGAGACACCTATGGCGTCAGAATGGTTTATCCATGAATCTGAAGGGACGTGTGTATCAAGCTACAGTACGGGCTGTTTTCCATGCCCAATTCAGAGTGGCGTAAACAGAGAGGTGGCCAACCCTTGACTTGGCAGAGGAGTATGAAGGAGATCACGAAACGCTGTCGGTTCTACTCGCCTTCCAGGATGGGGACCGTGTGATCCTCACTGTGCCTGGTTGGAGACACTACAAGATATGGCTGGCACCCGATGTCAGTGGCGTTCTTGTTGTCAGTTTCTGTCCAGATTGCCTGAGTGAATGTCTGGAGGTGTAGGCACCTCGGAATGATTGTGTTAAGCTAGCACTAAGTCCCTCCCCCATCCACCTTTATTCTTTTCTTTACAATAAGGCTTTCAAATAAGTCATGGGTGTACGGCAGTGAAGCGTCGGTGTTGAACACTGATGTCATGCTGTCGATGATGATGATGAACGTTTTCTGTTTATTAAGGAGTATCAGCTGAAAACAAGATAATAGCAAGATTACACCAGTTGGAAATCTGGACGTTGCTTAGACGGCTTTACAGTGTCCACTTCATAGCTCCGTAGACAAATGAGGCCATTTCGTGTTTCACAGCTAAGTCCCACAAGTTTTTCCCCTTGCAAAATACTGTCATACTCATATCGCTGTCTTATGGCACCCTCAAACTTCGTGTATCATTTCGCTCTACAGGTCATCTGTTAGATTTTACCCTTATCACTGACTCACTAACTTACAACAACCATGTGTGCGCTACGGTGAATCTATCAAAACGTCAGCGTTTTTTAACAAAGATGTTGCCTGCTTTGACTCCGGAAAGCCAGAGAAAGTGAAAAAACGGTATCACAGGATTTTTTTATAAGGGACAAATTAATTTCATTCGGCGGAATCGGAAAATTGTCTAAAACCTCTTATGTTTTCTGAGGCTCAATTTGGGCTTGGTACCATAGCTTCATGGACTGCACTGTATGACTTTCCAACTAGCTTACTTGATTGAAGTCGGTTTCGTAATTTTTTGAAGAGATGCTTGATTACGTCATTCAATAGATCCTTTTATGTTAGTAGCTGTCAGGAACCGTGGATTAGCCTATGTCAAACGAATACCCAGCTCTTGTCTGTTTTGTTTTCTTTGTAAGAAGTTTTGTCGAACTGTCTAGTGCGGCCTTTGGCTGACCAGAACACCTCCCTAAATCTTATGGACATTTTCAAAAGGACGAGGCTTTCCCAACAAAAGGAGTATATGTGGGGTGTATTTTTGCATCAAACGCATTACCTGTTGTGGTGTTACTTTTGCCGTATGTTCAAGCTGAGTTCAGCGCTTATTGCTCCTCCTCAATTTTTTCTTGAATGTTCCTTCAAGTTTCGTTTCTTGTGCGTGTGTGTTTGCTTATGCGGCCATAGTTTGTGGTGTGCTATGTTCGCTTTGCCTCAGCCTCTTCCCGACTTAGTTTGGATACGGGCCTGGCTGGAAGCAGCTACTCATACTAGTCGCTTAGCCACAACACCCTTTCAGTGCCTAGCTGCCATGTCACTTGAAGGAGACAAAAGGTCTGAGATGTTGCCGGGATGTCCAATTCTAGACTGGAACAATCGAGATGCAGAGGTTGGGTTCCACCATATAGGGGCCTGGCTGGAAGCAGCTACTCATACTAGTCGCTTAGCCACAACACCCTTTCAGTGCCTAGCTGCCATGTCACTTGAAGGAGACAAAAGGTCTGAGATGTTGCCGGGATGTCCAATTCTAGACTGGAACAATCGAGATGCAGAGGTTGGGTTCCAACCATATAGGTCAGTATCCGTCAACTTATTGCAACCCCACGTTGTCCATAGATAACCCTATGTCCTAGTTTGCATTAATATTGTGATTAGTTAGAATTCAATGTAGCTAGTTAAAATGAGATAAATTTGTTCTCACTGGTCCCATGGAAGTGTAGTATCTTGCAATATCTTGTAGTATCTTGGTCATAGGACCAAGCAAATTGGTCACTACAAAAGAATGGTCGGTGTAGAGGAATGCATGGAATAAGGTTTCAAGAGCCAAGACGCTTCGAAAACTATTTCTGTTGAACAACAAGGGAATGGTGTTCGCTGTGGAGCACATGTGGGTTGGGCGGCTAAATGTTTGTGGCACTCAGACGGAAGAGAAGAGTTCGATTGAGTATTTGTCGTTGTAGTAACGATAAAAAGTACACAGAGGGAGGCTGCATCATGACGGTGAGGTAAAGTTTGCAGATCGCTGGTCGACGAATAGAAGTCGATGCGACGCAGTATTCTTCGTTGAATTTTATCTAGGAATGAAGAATATGCAGAAGTAGCAATTACAATATTCCGGGACATATGCAGTAAAATTTCGGACAGGCGGAGTGTTTACGAGAGCAAACACGGAGCCGAGGTTGCTTGGGTTGCAGGCGAATTCACATGATTGGACCAAATGAGTGTTTGAAGAGCAGAGAATAAGAGTTGAGCAGGTGGATGGTTGAGAGGTCGGACCGGAGTCAATGAAGATTTGGAGTGTGGTGGGGAAACGGTGAATGAAGAGAGAAGCATGTGTGGATTCGATGGGGTTGAATGTTTCTAAATTCAGCGATCTCCAGGCCTTTGAAAGTTTGGTTCTCAGTGTAGCGGTGGCATGTGTGTTATCACCATTAATCCGAAATAGAGAGGATGTTTGAATACATCAGGTGGAAATAATGTGGAGGGCTGCATCAACTTCGAGGGCTTGGGTGCCAACGGATTCTGAAAACTAGGGATCGCTGCTAAGTGGCGGGAACAGCATGGTAGGAAAAAGAACTGTGGAGGACACTGGCGTTGATCATGGAGAGAGCACCGTCACTGCCTGCCTAAATCAAAGGAAGTTCGCAATCCAGTTCATAAAGCTGCTTGGCAGCTTAACAGTCAGACCGTGCTGTGCCCTGTCGGAAAACGTCGAGCCACCAAGGCTTCACCAAACGAGTTCATGGTAAATGTCCGACTATAAGGAAATGGAATTCCGAGAAACCGGTGTTTATTATTTTCAACATTAGATTAGTTGGTCATCCACCTTTATCTTTGTCTTCTTTCAACCTGCTCAACGCGAACCATGGTCTGTAGGCTTAAATTTTCCATCAGTTTCTGAACTGCTAGTATGTAGTCACGGCGTCAGATAAGACTTTTTCCGTCCAGATATAGTGGTAGGTATTTGTATCGTTCATAGACTAGACTGTTTAAACTAGTTTGGAAACAAATATAGGCCAGGACGTCACAATATATTTATTCGAAATACGTGCGCAAAACTGATGCGTCAATCCTAGGTTTATAAGGCTAACAACAGTTCTAACAGGACATATGGTCTCCAAACTTCCGAGGCCTCTAATTACAGCACGTGAGATGGGATTTCTAGAGCATTAGAGGGGTTCCGATCAGCTTGGGAAGCAAAAGGTTTCCCCCATATTTTTGCCACTAACTCTGTGACACCCAAAACCTCTTCAGTTTCTCTTCGTCCTCCTCATCTTCCACGAGCCCATTTTTGTATCTTCCATCACCACGAGCAATCATCGCCACTGCGTTAGATACCGACATCGCCAAACAACCCGATCCCTTTGGTATGCCCCCTAATTCTGTTGTGACCGTACCCTCGATCATCCGGAAACTCTTCTGTGCCTCTATCTCCGGCGTTAGCATTATTTCAGTAGAATGCGCATCTCCCAGGTGTTGTTCCTTATGTGGCTCCAATAATTAGCTGATGAATACCAAATTAATGAGTACCCACATTCTTCAGATTCCGCCTTTGGAATCAAAAATGGATTTTAGTAGACCTCAAGACCGTGTTTGCAAAGCATCTGTGAATGTCTGAGTGTGTGAAGATGGAACTTGACCTGTCACTTTTGACGGCCTTAGGCAACTGCAAACTTCCCATGGTTGTGTTCTCGTTCCGTATCGGCTGCTAGCTGGTAGCAGCATATCCTTAAGGGAGCGCCATATGTCAGGTCGAAGTCGGTGGAGTAACAGATCAAGACTGGGCGAAATGGCTCAGTGGTTAGAGCGCGACCGGAACGTCCGTCGTTCGAGCTCGACTTCCCCTGCCTAGGGTTGGGCAACCTGGCAGTATCCCAGCCCTCGTTCTTCCTTCTGGTTGCATAGCATCTAGGCACCGAAAGAGGGTTACAGTTGAACGATTATCATATCAAGATCGCCAGATTAAGGTGGTTGATTGCGTAAACCCAAGTTGGTGAGGATTTCATGGAACATAGACTAAAACATGGCAACGGGAAATGAAAGCGTTGCTAGGGATCTTTGCGTCAGGGGTTTGTGTGATCCTCATCGCACTTGGTTGAAATTCTACAAAACATTGTATGTAACTGAGTCTACCGTCGTTTCTTGTCAGAAATGTCTGGCTAACATCTGCTTGTCGTTGTGTGCCGGAGTTTTGTTCATTCAGGTTCGCAAAGGATGCTAGGTTTGTCCCGCTGATTATGACACAACGTACGGTTAAGTGCCGTTAAAAGCCGTAAGTACCTTGTTGTTGACCGTTTCTCCTAAGCAAAGTGATATTCTCGGTAGGTCTATACTCCTCCCTTTTCTTTACTCTTTACTTGGGTTTCACCATAGTTTTGTTGTCAACTGTTGTCCATGGTAAGGAATGCGAATTTCTCCAAAGGGTCACGTCCTTTCCTCGCATCGAATTACCATGAGAAAAGGGACCGCATAAACTGCAGTTAGTAGAATATCAGTGTGCAGTTTGGAGCTGAAGCTATCTGATGGTTTGCAACTCCTGCACTCATGTTCTCTTTGATGGAAATATTTTTAGACAGATAAGTGGGTATATGGGCTTTATTGCTATTCCTTGCGCCGAATGTCTTGTTGCTTCAAAAGACTTTCAGTGTTTGACCATCGATGTCTTCGGAGCATTGCCCGAATCTGGTGGGAACACCGGATCAGCTATTCTGAAGTACGTCGAATGGTATTCGGCTGTGCGCCGAGGACGTCAAAAGACTTTCAGTGTTTGACCATCGATGTCTTTGTAGCATTGCCCGAATCTGGTGGGAACACCGGATCAGCAATTCTGAAGTACGTCGAATGGTATTCGGGGGAAATAACTCACCCTCGATAGATGAATTGATCACACTGCACAGGTTGCGTTGGCTTGGCCACGTGCTGCGTATGCCAGTCGACCGACTTCCTCGAAGGGCTCTTTTCGCCCAACCATGTGAAGGGTGGAAGAGAGCCAGAGGCGGTCAAACAATGACTTGGCAGCGAAGTATGAGGGCCATTACCAGCAAACTCAGCTGCGCTGGCCACTGCCGTCTTCCTGGATGGGGACCCCGAGACGGGCCACATCAACGGCTAGAGACACTATGACACATGGCCCAGTCGCGCCCTCAGTGGCGCTCGTGCATCCAAGCTATTGCCTTCAATGCATAGCTTCTTTTCCACCCCCCCCGCTTGACAACTCACTGACAGTGCTGGATTTATGCACCAATTTACCAGCTCGCGCGTGCAATGCGCAGTTACTTACCCCCCAATCATCGGTGAACGAAACTGTGGCAGCTACAACCAGTGTACGACCAGTACGCGGTTATTACAGCTGATAATGAATGAATGAAATGAAATGTCTTGTTGCTATAACGTCCGAAGCCTAATCTACACAGATTTTGAACTCTCATACTTTTTTCTTTCGAAGCTGGCCCTTGGTAATGTGATCTCAGCCCTTGGGGACAAGGCCAAGCGTGGCTGCCACGTACCGTATCGTGATTCAAAACTGACTAGACTTCTACAAGATTCACTTGGCGGAAATTCTCGGACAATCATGATAGCCTGCATCAGCCCCTCTGATTGTGATTTTCTCGAAACGTTGAATACGTTAAAGTACGCCAATCGAGCTCGTAACATTCGGAATCGCATAGTGATGAACCAGGACAAGACAAGTAAACAGCTGTCAGCGTTGCGTGCCCAACTTGCTGCCTTGCAAGAGGAACTGGACGGTTACCGACAGGTACGGCTGTCAGTTGCTTTACGTTGAATTCTGCCGTCTGTTAGTTTCCAGGTTTTCATTTTCTTACCGTTTCACTGGCACAATCTAACTCCAGGCCCTGATTACTCTTTGCTTTATTTACTCAACAGGTGTCCAAGGTATTATTGTGTTGTTCATTATTCGTTCCATTTGTGAATTTGCTTCTCCAGGCTTGTTGACTCTGCTGATGCAACATACTTTTTACTCTTCAGGGCAAACTCGTAGCGAACTCTACCGGTGGTGATGGTGCCAGTGATGTTTCCAAAGAGCTCGAATTTTGGCGACGAGAGAACGAAAAGCTCCGCCTGCGAGTGAAGGCTTTGACGGTCACGGTCAGCACATTGAAGGTTGGTCACTATTTTGGTGCTATTTTGCAGGTAATTTCTTCAAGATTACTTGAGAACTCACCTTCGCCTCCAATCATGAAGGAGTTTATAGTTTCCTGGATAAGGTGTCAGGCATGGATTCCGGAGCGCGTGATAATCGTCGTTGCCAGTCTTGTGCTGATCATTTACACCGCTCACTCGCTGACGAAGACATTCAGCTTAGGGGCGCTTTGGTATTAGACAGTCTATCGATTTAAATAGCAATCTGTCGCAAAGCCACTTCCGAACCACTTCGCTGTTGTTTTAAATATAGGACGATTCTTACGATGGCGTCTCACGTTTCACCCCCTTTAAGGTTCGAAATGCACAGCTGCTTGCAGACCTGGAAGCTAGCTCCTGGGCCTCTTCGAAAGAAAAGCTTCTGCGTGCAGCTCAAGGAGATTCTGCAGAACGAACATGGAANTACGATGGCGTCTCACGTTTCACCCCCTTTAAGGTTCGAAATGCACAGCTGCTTGCAGACCTGGAAGCTAGCTCCTGGGCCTCTTCGAAAGAAAAGCTTCTGCGTGCAGCTCAAGGAGATTCTGCAGAACAGAACATGGAAAGTGGGGAACTCTCTTCCCTAAATTTGATAGTGGGTGAAATGGATAGTGTTCGAGAACTGGTGGAGAAGTATACTGTTGAAAACGAAGAACTAAGGTGAGCTCTCAGGCGTTTTTGTGATTTACACCTTTTTGGAAAGGTGTTCTCTTACCTCGACGACTGTCTTATAAGACCTCGTCGATGTTTGTGGGACTTGTTGAATTTTCATTCGCATCACTCGTGTATAAAGTCCTTCTCCTGTCGTGGGAGAATTACTCTGGAGAATTCACATTAAAGAAGGCAAGCACCAGACTTGAGGTCCGCTCATCGCACATCTGTGGTCGGACCGCGATTTAGACCCAGCAGGACTCAGGCGTCCATGGTGCCACGTGACTGAGAAGTCTTGGCGCTAAAGTTAATCGATTGACACACGGGAAACAGTAACTGAGCCGTCGTTCGAGGCATTGGGTAAGCCAATCACATCGCTCAAGCGTGAGCACGTTCCTATGTTCAGACTTGACTGAGTATGAGTGGTCAAATCATCTGAATCAGTTAAACGATGGATAGGCTGAATTTCAGCTGAATAGGTGCCCTCAGGTTTACTACACAGGGTCAATGACCTCTTACGGCTAGCCAAAGCGTTACGTGACCTTTCCTCTACACCCGTCTGATGAGCCTCATTTGGTTTAGCTTTTAGGTTACGGACCACTTTATCGTCCAAAGCATCCCAAATGAAGTGATAGGGATTATGTGAAGGTCTGTTGAAATCCCGTATTTTGCTCGATCGTCAACCTTTCGGGTCAGTGATCAGATGTTCTCTTCTCCTCTTGGTTGCTCACAACGTTCGCTAAT